GGTAACACAGAAAGACAGTACGTTTTTTCAAAAGGGAGGTTCGGCATACCTTTCCGGTGTTTTCAGTGGCGTAATGAAGACTTAGACTGTTTAAATATTCCAACTTGCACGAAGAATGTTGTGTGGAAATAATGTCAAAAAGTCTGGAGGACATTTGTCGAAAAATAGTGGTAGTTAGACGAATTTATTTATTTGTTTGAACACAAATAATGGCACAAGGGGGCACCAGATATATATGCGCCACAAAATAACAATGAGAACGGGAAGAGAAAAAAATGTAAGGTGAGTATAAGAGAGAAGAAAGAATAAAAGAGGACAGTAGCGACAATAGATTAATGTGTGGTAGTGTAATAATAATAATAATGGGGGAAATAAAAAGGTACGACCAGAAAGAGTTCTGTCAGTTAAGGAAGAAACTAAAAGAAGGTTACAACAGGATCGCCACTGACCGAACCTCTGCATTACTGACATGGTGTTGCCACTGAATGTCAGCAATCCTTCGGAGACAGCGATGATCGAACACAGAGAGTCGTCTAAAATCCCCAATTTGGAGAGGCCAGGTTTCACAAGCATAGAGCAAAACTGCTCTCACCGACGCGTTGTAGATCCGACCTTTTACAGCTAGACTGACATCACGAAGGCGCCAAAGATGACCCAGATGGATTTAAGACGCTCTGACTTTCAATATACGTGAATTGATCTCATCACTCACACCACCAGCATTTATGCAGCTACCCAGATAAACGAACTTCTCGGCCCAGAATAAGTGAAGGTTCAGGGTCCTGCCAGTCTTGTAAAAGGACTTCGCACTTGGAAGGTGCAAAGCACATACCGTACCTGCGGACACTATCCGCCAACCGGTTAAGTGCCGGTTGTGTGGCTGCGGTAACATCCCACAGTAAGACAACATCATCCGCATACTCCAGGTCGGAACGTTTTTCCCAGACAACAGATCCACACAACCACTGCCTACAGACATCAGAGTTATTTTTGCAACACCATCGATGACAAAGTCAAAGAGGATCAGTGAAACTGTGCAACCATGTCTAACCACACAGCCTGAGTGGAAGAATTGAGAAAGGTGGCTGTATGCCCCCACTACCTGAGGTGTTTGTATATAGGGATTTGAGGATGTAAACAACGTAGTCCGTTCCCTAATCAGAAATTCACCATCACCTTTAAAAAGAGCCGGAGGTAAGTCATCTGGGCCAGGTGATTTGTAGCGTTCCGTGAGTTGGGGTTCCTTGCGGAATTCCGCCTCATTTGGTAGATTAGTCGTCGCGGGCCATGGAGGGCAGGACGGTTCGACCGGTGTTGCCGGAGCAGCGGGTCAGTTGAACTGCCCTTCGGAGAATTCTGCCCATCGTCTAAGACGTCGATGGATCTTAGTGATTGGCATCCCGTCATTTTCATAGATTGTTTCGTTCAAATCAGACTTCTTGCTGTCAGTGACCCGGATGAATTGGAAGAGCTTCTGGTAGTTACCAGATGTAGCTGCCGCTTCAAAATCATTGGTACGCTCTAATTACCAGGCTTCTCGGTCCTTACGCAAGCTTTTCCCGATTTCATTACGTAACATTCTTCGTTTACGGTCAAACTCACGGTCACCCGGAGTGAATCGACGGGATTCGACGAGTTGTAAAGAGCCTGAAGAAACCCAGTGCTTATAACCGGGACGTTTCATGAAGCCGCAAGCGGTTTTACTCTCCATTTTCATGGTGTCATGAAGATGAAACAAATGTTCATCTATAATTTTCGGTGGAGTGGTAGCTAGCCTAGAGGCTAGCTCGGTTCGATACTTACTAGCAACAGAAGTTGCTAACATTAATCCGTTGGTGGCGGTCGCTTCGTTGTCCACTGAAAAGTAAGGTAAGATTGGCGCAGACCAGGGCATGATCAGAGTCCAGATAGGTACTCCAAAAGGAGCGGCAGTCTTGTACACAACCACGCCAGCGGTAGCTGATCGCGATGTGATCAATCTGAGTCCAGGCTTGAGGTGCAGAGGGAGGACGCCAGGTGGCACATCGGCGATGACTGTGCCGAAAGTTAGTGCTAGCCAGAAACAGGTTGTGGTCTGTGCACAGTTGCAGTAGACGGTCCCCGTTATCTGACCTGCAACCAACAAGTCCCCATCGGCTACCTAAACGACTCTCTTCTTTGCCTAGACACCCGACCTGAGCATTCAAGTCTCCGGCTAGTACTACAATATCTGTCGAACGCACTTTTTGGAGATGAACAGATAACTGGTGGTAAAACTCATCCTTGATTGCATCCGGGCTGCAATCTGTCGGAGCATAGTCGGAGATGACGAAAAGACATCGTTTCTCACGCCGATTTCTTTTCACTTTGACGGAACTTTCTAATCGAACAGCACATAACCGACTGTTAATGGGGATCCAATCGATTAGTGCTGCCTCAGCTCTAGCGCTTATTGCGACACCAACGCCAGCAAGAGCAGCCGAAGATGCCACAGGGTCCCTGGATAAGCGCACGTAAAACAAGCTTTTCGAAGCGACAGATAGAGAGCGAATTTGTAGTACTTCACCAGAGTCTTGAATACGGGTCTCGGATAGATAACAAACATCGATATTAAGACTTTCCAAAGATATAGCCAGCTCTATCTGTTGTTCGACATGCATAAGTGTGCGAAAGTTGAAGGCAGCCAGTTTGAATGATGCACGTGGCTTCAGAAATCTGCTTCAGTATTCATATTCGGCGGTAACGTACAATTTTCAACCAGGTAGTGACTCGAGATCGTTTAGACAGAAATAATTTCCAACATAAGCGAGCTGCCGTATAAGTCGAAAAGTAAGGATATGCAAGGTGAGAATGGAAGTGGATGGATAAGTGACGTAGTACATAAAAAATGAAAGTGAAGGTTACCAAATGGTTATGGGTTATTTGAATTGTAATAGGAGTGCGAGTATTATAACCAATAACCGTTGTCATTTCATTTTAATTGTGTAAGGGTTATGATACTGCCCGGGTGCCAAGACTGAAGCAGGTGGTTTTCTTATGGGGCCACTCCCCGAGCTTTCGACCTGAAGGTCTGATCCACAAGGCAGTGGAGCATCGTGAGGAGATGCAGTCCCATGGCAGTCGGTGACCAACAATTGGTTCCCTTAGGATCCTGGAGCCCATGTGCACCATTGGTTTGGGATCAGGGTTTCCCAACTCCCCTAGATGGACTCACCGTGTCCACCGGCTCAGTTAAAGCGCCGGACGAAACCATGCAGATCATGCAAAAAAACTAGGAAATAAAGTTGAATCATTTTAAAACCTTCTAGATGCATAGTTGAAAGGGTAAAAATTAAGTTGCCAAATGGGACCGGGGAAGTCCATCATGAAGTCGAACTTGGTTTGGTCATTGGAAAATCACTGACAAATGTCAAAGTAGAAGAATTATATTTATCAATATTAGATTGTGGTTGCGTTCGATCTAACTGATCGACCACTTCAGAATCAACTAAAAGGACTTTCATGGACGTTGGTTAAATGCTTCAATACAGCTTGTCCTGTGGAATCACTACTGGCCGGTATTTTAACTTCTCTTCAAGAATTTCAAGAAGTAGAGAATGAGATTTCGTTAAAAGTAAATCGGTTGGAACGGCAACATAAACATTTATATGAAGAATATAGGCATTAGAATTGTGTTGAATTTGCAAAATAAACTACAAGTAAAAAAGAAAGATGTCTAAATACGGCGAAAATTCTGATTAGTTCTCAATGATTTCGCCAAAACGTTGAAGAAATTTTGGGGTTTTATCAAAGAATATGAGTTGGTTTCCCCAAAGTTTTCGGAAATATTAGAGGAAAATCAAAATTTACACAAAATAACTTAAAATTTTCGGGGTTTTGATAGCTTTTTCCCAAAATAGGGAGATTGAGGTGTTGCAATCCGACTTTGCAAAGTCCTCGAAGCCATGCATTATGTAAATACTTTTCATTAGAAGGATGATTGTGAACTGAGTTAAATTTTCTCACCACGATCTTGCTCTTTTTGTAACTAGTTCTAGTCACTGATTCCCATATTGTATACTTCGTTCTACAATGTTCACTTAGTGATAACGTTAATGTACCACAGGGTTATTCTTGTGTACAAATGTTTAAACAAATATGCCACTTAACTCGGGATTATTTCTATCCATGTTGCACCGTATAGTTACATAATGAGTAAAAGTGAACTGTCAATATTATGAAGTAATAGAAAACTAACCGTTTGTAAAAGACTCATTGGCTTTTCAACTTCATTTCACGTTAATAAATTTCGGCGACTAAAAATGTCTCCCGACGTTAAGTGCAGGTCAGCTTACATGTATGTTAGCGAAAATGCATTTCACCGACAGATGTACAGTCACGATTGTCAACATAGGGGATGAGAATTCGAAAAATAGGTGTGATAAAGTCTATTGTATCATGAGTGACACGCAGTATAGAATATACCTTCAGTAGTAATACCAACGATAATAAAATGTTGAACAAGCTTAAAATACCAACAAACGGAAATAGCTAGGAGGAAAAGTAATTACGTAATGTGCGAAACTCTCTGATACCTAGTTTGAGCTAACTGCAAGACGGACTGTCTCAGATCTATGATGGATTGGTGTTTGTCTGTTTCGAATGCCAAGTTATCATCCCAAACAACTAGTCGTCTCTTTAGTAGAAACAAGTATTATCACCTCGCTAATCCAGTAAGTTACATATCTGCACCAATTTGGATCACATCATTTATGACTTTGGCGGTAACATTTATTTTATGAAAATGCGTATCACGATTCCTAAAAAAACTACCGGAAAAGAGCCATAACTTTAAGTATTATTATTTGGTTTAGATTCTTTAACACCCTGTAACCCCCGATGCACAATGACTGTTTTGCATGGTTAGTGATTTTCACTGCATCATGAAGTGATAAACTGAATCGATTAGGTGATACAATAAAAACGGGGAGCTTGTTTGAAATCAGTACACATCGGTTAAAGACGAAACAAAAAAACGTATGTATGGACGAAGGGTATATTGAATTTTTATTATTCAGGGAACAGAAAACCCCATAGATAAAACAATCCGAAAGGAATCAATTATATAACCACTTGCATAATTGTTTTAAACGCTCACGCAAACAACCTCAACCATAAAAATGAACATACACCATTTATTTAGCGTTAAAAAATTGAAACTGATCAAAGTAGTAAATTAGTCTAGGTATGGAATAAAAAAAGGAATTTATAGAACAAGTAAGCAGGAATTTTATTACTTATAAAGGGATATGCATCACGAAGTTACGGTCATCAAAATCTCTGTTAAAGGGAAAGAAGTAACTCCACTTCCAATTTTTTTTGTAGCCAACGACCGGAAGCGGTATCCTGAACTGCAGCATCAGCTTATTAGGGAGATGTTTTAACACTTTCGTTCTGACTGAACACGTTACCCAAATACCAAAAAAACTGCAGAAAGAAAAAGTGGAAAAGGTAAATAAGGAAAACAGAAATAAGTAACAGGTTTAGGTATTGTCTTGTGTATCGAAGGTGGAAATGGTGTATGATATGGATTTTATTTCATAAACGATAATTACATTTGGAGGTAACAATTAAAGCTATTCTCAGTATATGGTTGCGTGAATTGTTAGGCTTTGATTGAGATCATGAATCGATCAATGTCAGACCACCACTAGAAAACCTCGGTGAGAGACATTTACCTACCGAAGACAATGGAAGATGGTTGCGCAATATCATGGGTTGGTTAAAGTTAGACATTAAAGCCGCTGGATGCCCGCCAAGTGGTCTAGAGTTTAAACGTTGGGGCGCGGGGCCGAAGGTCCTTGGTCCGAACCCCACGTGCAGGATTGCGGATGTGCACTGCTGAGTCCCACCCCAAGACGAAACAGCCGTCCAGCACCTCCAGGTTTTCGATGGTAGTCTAACATTGATCGGTTAATGATATCAAATAAAGCTATTCTATCGCTAATTGCATGCTCATTATATACATTTCGTTGTATTAATTCATTTTGTATTGTTTGTTTCAATCTTCCTATTGACTTTAGGACTGCAAATGATCAGTCTCTTATTAGCATATGCGCATCCTGTGCGAATCGCCTCGATATTGCCTTAATTTACAAGCATTATAAGCAAGGATGGATGATGGCTAGCAGTGGAATCCAGGACGCGCGTTTCGTTCTATTTGGGGCTCGTCAGCCGGACGTACCAGCACAAGCTAGTGGCTGTCTGGGCTCAGTAGCTAAGTGGATAACGCGATGGTGTTTGAAAAGAACAGTACTGGGTTCGAGTCCTGGAGTGAACACCAAGTATGGGATGCAGGTACATCCAGTTGGCGAGTCCCAAATAGGACGAAACGCACGTCTTAGATTCCACTGCTAGCCACCACCCATTTTTTTTATTTCGTTGTATGAAAATGTGATCACTTTAAGAAAATATAGCATCATAATATGTTTAGATGTACCGTTTGTCAACGACAGTTGTTCGATGGACTAGTGGATGACTATTTAATTTCTGTTCTACTGCTTACTGATTATAGTATTGGACACGTTTATGACATTCATGCATTGTATGTACAACACAAATACGGCTAAATGTCTAAGGTATTGAATAGTTAGTGATCTACCTAGTTTTATTCCTTAAGCAGAAGTTACTTTTTTCATTCACACTATGAATTCATATAATATAGTTTAAAAAACCTGAATGGAGAATGTCAAGAACAAGTTAGTAGAAAAGTAGAGACAACTATTGTGAAAGATCAGACCTGGTACAACACGTGGTTTCTAATCAATATTCTTTAAATTATACTATAAAAAGATGACTAACCTCTAAAAAAAAGTGTTTTCATCATTTTTATGAGATATCTAAACCTTTAATTGTATAAACTAGGCTGATAAGCAAGATAGATATGATGAAATGAATTTATTGATATATTTAATTGGGTAGTCGTAGCTCACTTGTATAGTACACGCTTATATACTATGTGATTATTGAAAACGATCTTAGTGGTTGAAGTTTGAAGGTCCTGATCCAGTAATTAATGATAATAATGACTTTATTCAATATTATGTGTTCAGATTAGACGGGTAAACAAAATAGATGGTTAAAAACTTGTTTGTTTAATTTAATGCTTTGCTGATATTACTTCAATTTGGTCAAAGATTATCATCATGGATTAACTTTAACATGGAACCCGTAAGTTCAAATACAACATACTGATTGATCAGTCAGCTATAATAAATGTAGAGCCTGGTACATGATCTGAGGCAAGATAATGAGTGGAAGTGTTCCTTGCGTAACTGAATTTAACCCACATAACCCCTGTCTCCAACAACTGGCAGCGACAACCTCAAGGATCCTAATCAGGTACTCTGAATTTATTAATTTGGCTTAGACCAACAAAAAGTTAGTGACTCCATGAATTGATGACTACCTAGTTTGACCACACCGATTTTTCAAGTATCTCTTACTGTAGCCAAATTTACATGTTGAGATAGACAGTGGTTGAAGACCTAAGTTGAAGATTCATACTCTAATAAACTAATTTTTAATCTCCTCTTTGTACCATATACTTAACCTCAACATTGCTCAATCGGTCGTGTCATGATACGCGGCAAATACTTCAAAGAAACTTATGATCAAAAATTTGTAGTCTATGCATGACATTAATTTTATAGGCCATGTTTTACAGTCATAGAGGGATACAGAGCGAACTGTTACTCAGTATGACTGATAGTATTAAACTATTTTGAAAATGATATACCAGAAGCACATTGAATATTTGTCGCCCTATATCATGAAATAACTGAAGTCAAAAATACGAAGCGTTTAGCTCTAGCTGTTATCAATTCATGATGAGAAACACGCCATACCATACTACTAAGCAGTAAACAAAACAAAAAGAAATTGAATATAACTTTCATCAGTAACTGATATCAAATATAGAGTGAATGAAAACCAAAGATAAATGGACAGACATTTAGTTCAAGGTTGAGATTCACCAGAAGTGTGCGCCTACTTCTCTATATGGAATCAAACTTAGAAACATTAAGGCCTCTCAAAGTGAGCTCCACATACCACTTAGACACTGAGTCTAGATTAAACTGTTTATATTTATTAGTTTCAGTCAATTCGCAATACATCACTATTATCATACAATATTCTTAGGACCTGAGAATATCAATGTATTGAGTTATTCTACTGTCCATTATTCCTTGGACACCATTTCAATAAAATCTTTCCAAATCAGAACAATAATTCAACAATATACACTCTAATAAACCTAAAAATCAAAGACCCAGCAGGAAAAACATTAGAATTCACATAGCAATTTTTTGAATTTTCGAGTTGCAAACGAGAACTGGTTGATTGAAAATCGACTAGTTAGCATATTGCGACTTTTCGTTCAAGTTCAAGGAGTCAATTAAAGATTCATTACAATTATTTAAATCACTTGGAAATACATCTTAAAACATCTTTTACATGATTTAAGTTTATAAATTAAAAGTTGGATAGAACCAGTACAAAAAATTTCCATTTCTGAACGGTAATTTAGAGAGGGAGAAGGTACTTACGGCGAAGACAGAAGTCAAAAGACCTAATATAGCTCCAGCTAATACATCTGTTGGATGATGATAATGATCAGTTACACGTGTGGCGCATATATAAAACAAAACAGAAAGCAGAACGTATTGTAGAAATGGTCGTAGGAAAGGTATTACAGGTAGATGCAGTCGAGCCTGTAAATAAATCTGTAAAAGAAGTAATAAATTTGGTGTTGGATTAACGTATATTTTAGCATCTAAATTATACGTGTTTATCTTTTTTTTTAAAAAAAAACAGTAGGGAAAAGTTAGATGTACTGTAAATAACTCTATTCTGTCACTAAACATTAATAGATTGACCAAAAAGTACTTTAGAAAACCCTGAAAAGTAACAATAACTGGCTACATTGAACTCGAAAAAGAAGACAATACTGACAAGTTGATTAATTTACGAATGAATTACTTCAACATAAAAAAATTAGTATAGTTTTTATTAGCAAAAAATAAAATATTTAGCACAGTAATTTAGTCACATTTGTTAATAAAAGTAGTTAATCTATTGATTAATTATTGTCAATTAGTGCTAGATCAATATATATGTAAATTTATCGATTAATCGGAGATTTAAAATGATAGATATTTCATTGTATTCTTTTTAAAATGTCATTTGAATCAATAGACGGTGCATAAGTAAATCTTCAACTATAATCTTGCATTTTTCTTTCAATTAGTCTTTTTTCACTGAACAACTAGCAACAGTTACTCAGTCACAACAAACAGCCATGCCACCAGGATTCTGATAAGATATTACAGTTTACAACTCAATTCACAAATAAACATATCTATCTTTTTGTCAAACGTAAGTAGGTGTGATCAATATGTTGAAGTTAATTAAAATGAGGTTGGCGAAAATTGTATGCATAACAACACAGTGTCAGTACTAAGTCCACCTTATATAGATTAGAAAGTCAAAAATCTTATGTCTCTAGTTAGACACAGTTTGAATATTGAGTCTTAATATCATAATCGTTATTAATCGATTTTATCCTAGCTATATCTTAAATGTGTTTAGCTTTCCACTGTAATCGATCACGTTGATGACTAACTTATTGACTTTCTCTGTGTTGACGTGAAGTCCGATGGAAAATTGGCTGATGTATATTTATATCAGGTTCTAAGTTCTTTATTATTGCCTTAAGATTAAATAGAGACATCTTTATATATACGTATAAAATGTAATAAGTTTAGCATTCATTCAAACTGCCCTTTTTACAAAAAGTTTGTCATTTTCCTGGAAAAATATGCCATTAATCAGGGATTGTATTTTTCCACTTTCTAACTAATTGATTTCCAAAGTTCACGATGCCGTTTTTCATGTGGCGAAATACAACAATTATTTTATTATTTTACATCATGAACTGGCTTTAGTAAGACAACCATTGAAAGCTAACAATCATTAGACATGTGTTTCGTTTTAGTATGGGACCCTTTAAAAGTGGGTATCCACGACCTCACCAGCAATCTTATACAATGGTTGGATTATGGATTTACTAATCTCTACAACCCAAAACAATTATTATTCTTGAATGGTATCAACTCTGACCTTGCCAACCAACTATGACGATATTTCGAATAAGAATTAAGCTTGATACAAGGGTCCTTATTTGATTAGTGAGTGACCTAACAAACTATTATCACCTGTTCACTTATCTGTTAAATGACATGTAATCAAGCTTTTGGCTGGTTGTCTTGTCTTTTAAAAGCAGTTCCATTGGAAATTTTTCATCGATAATTCAATTTAGTGGGTAGTTATCAGTCTATGATATTGCATCATCGCACAGGATTTATGGATCAGAATTCCACTAATTTATCTGAACCACCCAAAATGCTTTGCGTCATAAATAATAAAATCCTCCTTTAGAACACATATTCTAATGTTTTGTTAAACTCATTTAATCTTTACGATGCAATAAACCGTATTTGCGTGAAAGTAACCACTACACAGCTCACCTCATCACAATAATAATAATAATAAAACTTAAACGCGATTCCAAACATGTTTGTATATTAAGTCACAAGCCACATCTATTGTACAGCTTAATAATCTTAACTAGTATATAAACCTCTTGAAGATGAATGAAACCCGAACCATAAGGACAATCATTACTCACCTAATTCATAACGAAGTACAGTTTAAAAGGTCATTTTTAAAATAAATCAACCTACCACAGTGAAGAATAAACTAGCAGAAGCTGTTGATGCATGGCCTGACATGAATGACAAACTAAATAGATAAAATAATAATGACAAAGCAAAAGAATATTGTTGATGTTAAATTATTAAATATGATTTATTAGAAAGATGTTCAGTGTAAAAGTATGTAATGACATGAATGTAATTTTAGCTAAGTTGATTTTTGTGTTAATTTAGTAAAACTATGGAGATGAAGTAACAAATCTAATAAAAAAAATTTAAGTAAATGATTGTATTGCTATTGTAATTCATAAGTTTGATCTTGAATAAAACGATTGAACAATATTTGGTGAAATGATCGAATTTGATGAACTCTTACAATGTATATTGATGAATTCATATGAATAAACTTTTCAGTTTTTGAAAGTTGATTCGATAAAACAGAATATGAATATTCTGAGCTTTTAATTAAATAATAATGCAAAATTAATGTTTGTGTCTTGCATTATTTTCATTCAAGACAGTAATCGAGCCGATTTTGGGTGCTGACAAAGATGGTAAATTGTTCTTAGTATAGCCTCTTGTTCTAGAGTAAGTACCTGGCTTTAATTAGGGAAGTTAGCATGACTGTTGTAAGTTGTAGAATAGCATTACGGATAGGACCTAAAATCAGAAAACTATGTATTTAATTCCACTGTGTTAGGATAGAAAGGATATTGAGAAAGTTGGAACTTTTAGAACTAACATATCACGAGTTACTATTCTTTATTTTTCCCGACCGTTGTTGCTACATTGACGTGGTGGTCGGGCTTGACTATCGTGATCAAGCAACCGAGCTATACTGGCTGGAACAACCGTTCCTCAAGGTCCTACCATGTCAGACAGGTCGGTTGAAGAGCGGTAAGACTAAAAGCAACAAACCCAAGGTCCGAAGGCGAAGTCGTACTGCTGACTGTACAGAGGTGTGACAGCAGTAAGGTGTTTCCTTCAGACAACCAGCATGACAGCGATGCTGCCTTCCCACAAGGAGGGGTGGGGTTAGAAAAGGTCGACCCTAAAAATGCACACCTCGTCTTATCCCACGGATATCCTTCTCCGGCAGTAAGGTCCCAAAAAGTACGGAGCTAACACAAAAATTACCCATAAAAAGGTCGTGTGTGACCGACCTCAAGCAGTTGTCTCTTGGGCACTGCGGTCACGCTCCCAGGTCACTAAGACCACCTCTAATCCAATTTCCTTTTCAGGTACCTCCAGAACAACCCTTCTACGGTGTGGGCAACCGGGAAGTGATAAACGCCCTCATACCTCTAACAGCACTCAAGACCACTGTATTCATAATCAACCTCCGTCTTCACTTTCTATTATTCCTCCTACATCGACTTTCAACGCTAAACTTCCTCCTTCGGCTTCCTCCTCAAATGTCACCATAGCAAACGATTCTAGTGCTCAAAACACTGTCCCAGGTCTACTGAAACCTCGCTCCAAACTACACATTGGAGCCTTCAAAGTACGCACCCTATGTCAAATCGGTCAACAGGCTTCCTTGGCTAGAACCCTAGAATCTCGCACCATTGATGTATGCTGTGTCTCTGAAACACGCATACAGGATCCCAGTGTGGTTATTCATTTGACCTCACCTCGGCGAAACGGAGAGCCAACGAGATACACCTTCCGTGTATCTGGTGACCCGACGGCCAGCTCTCGTGGACTGACAGGTGTGGGGATAGCACTCAGCATGAGGACGGAACAAGCACTGTTAGACTGGATCCCCGTTAACAGTCGTCTATGTGCTGTTCGGCTAAACGGCTCCGTAAGAACTAGGAAGGATAGGGATACACGTCGTTGCCTTTTTGTCGTTTCTGCCCATGCTCCCACCGACTGCAACTCGGATGAAGTGAAAAATGAATTTTACAGAAAGCTATCTGAACTTCTTCAGAAAGCTAAACGTTCAGACATAGTAATCGTAGCAGGTGACTTTAATGCTCAGATAGGTAGCTTAAACCAAACAGAAAGGCATTTAGGTGGATATTTTAGTATTCCGGCACAACGAACAGATAATGGTGACCGTCTGCTGCAACTGTGCTCAGACAATCGTTTATTTTTAACAAACACAAATTTTAAGCATAAGAAGAGACATCGTCTAACATGGCGAGCCCCTGCAGCAAACCAACGATGTACTCAAATAGACCATATTGCCATCAGTCATCGTTGGAGAGGGTCGGTAGAAGATTGTCGCTCATTCTGGAGTACCTGCATGGACTCCAACCATGCCCTAATACGGGCACGCATCTGCTTGCGCCTCACTGGACGCAAAAAAGCCACACCAAAAGGATCCATTAGAACTGGATTGAGTAGCGAGAAAACCAAAAGTAGGTTCCAGGAACAACTGAGGTCACAATTAGGTAGTTCTGGAGACGAGGTTGACCCAGATGTTGCTTGGAAAGCTATACAAACTGCTGTGGAAACAGCAGTGACATCTATCAGTGATTTAAACCACAGGGTTACAATCAACCAATGGATTTCTTCAAGGTCTATTGCACTGATGGATTCTCGCAAACTCATCCCATCAGGTTGTGAACACGATGAAGAGTGTAAACAAATCAGATCTAGGTTAAGCAAAAGTCTAAGAAACGACCGTGAGCAGTGGTGAGCAACGAAAGCGAAAGAGATGGAAAAGGCGGCGGCTATAGGGAACACAAGACACCTCTACAGACTAATAAAAGAAACTGGAATTAAGAAGTCAAGTGTGAGTCAGACTATTTCGGAAAAAGACGACACCCTCATCTGCTCCCAGTCCAGACGTTTAGAACGATGGGTGGAACATGTTAGAGAACAGTTCAACTGGCCTTCAGCTACTCTACAACTACCCACCATTACCCGACAGTGTGAATGGAACATTGAAGTAGGTCCCCCAACTCTCGCTGAAGTTCAAAAGGCTATAGTTAATCTGAAACGAGGAAGGGCAGCTGGTCCAGATGGATTGGCTCCAGAAGTCTTTAAGGATGGTGGTCCAATTTTAGCGATTAGGTTGACTAATATTTTAGCTAAGATCTGGGAGTTAGACGTTATCCCATCTAACTGGTCACAATCACTTATCGTCCCAATATATAAGAGAGGGTTAAAATCATCCTGTGACAACCATGGAGGGATTAGTTTAACTAATATAGTATCTAAAATACTAGCCTCGATAATTATCAGACACCTAACTAAGACTCGTGAACTGCAAACACGAGAGAATCAAGCTGGCTTCAGACCTAGTCGTGGCTGCATCGACCACATATTCACCATTCGTCGGGTTCTAGAACACAGGCATACTTATCGGCGTCCGACAATGGTGGTATTTCTTGACTTAAAAGCAGCATTTGACTCCGTAGACCGCGAGATTCTGTGGCAGTGTCTGTCATTGAAAGACGTACCCTAGAAGTACATAAACCTTGTGAAGGCTCTTTACTCGAACACTATTAGTCGAGTCAGAGCTTATGGCGAACTGTCATCTAATTTTGCAACCTCAAGTGATGTCCGTCAAGGCTGTCCACTTTCTCCATTTTTGTTTAACTTCATCATAGACCTACTGATGGAAATAACTTTCTCGTCAACTGAGTTCTCGGGTATTGATCTCCTTTCAGGAGGTCCACTTATCGACTTAGAATACGCAGATGACATAGTCCTGTTTGGTGAAGACGCTGACAAAATGCAGAGTCTTCTGGTGGCACTGAGCAACAATGCCAGGATGTTTGGAATGCGCTTCTCTCCCTCTAAATGCAAGTTGTTGCTTCAGGACTGGTCTGCGTTAACACCTGAACTAAGGATAGGGAGTGAAGTAGTCGAACGCGTCGACAACTTCACTTGTCTTGAAAGTCTGATCAGCCCTAATGGGTTGGTATCGGGCGAAATCTCAGCACGGATTCGAAAAGCTCGCTTGGCTTTTGCCAACTTACGTCACCTGTGGCGAAGGCGAGATATCCGTCTATCAATAAAAGGACGAGTATACTGAGCGGCAGTCCGTTCTGTTTTAATTTACGGCAGCGACACATGGCCATTAAGAGTAGAAGACACTCGTAAGCTATTAGTATTTGACCACAGATGCCTTAGAAATATTGCTGGCGTTTGTTGGGATCACCGGGTAAGTAATAGTGAGGTTAGACGCAGGGTATTAGGAAATGATGGTAAATCAGTTGATGAGGTTATGAATCTTCATCGACTGAGATGGTTGGGTCACGTGTTACGTATGCCTGAACACCGATTACCACGACGTGCAATGTTATCCGGTATTGGAGATGGTTGGAAGAAAGTTAGGGGCGGCCAAACCAAAACGTGGCATCAGTGTTGGTAGATGCAGACTACTTGGTTGGGGTCCGCGTGACTATCGTAACCAATGGTTAGAGACTCTTGGTGACATGGCTCAGAATCGATCACAATGGCGTCGGTGTATACACTCCCTGTCTTCCCTTAAACTAAGAGATTAAAATCACTTCATATCTTTCTTTCTACGAACTAATTCTTCCTTCTTGTACTATATCTCTATATGCAATCTTTCTTTTATATATTACCACCTTTGACCTAACCACTGCTATGAATCCGGTGTTCATCTTGTTGTGCTGATGCGGTATGGCAACCTGGACCGATGCACATATGTGCCTGGTTCTACGTTGTAGCTGACTGACTAACTGATTCTTTACTTTTACTACGTAATTACTGAATACCTGGATTATTGTCATTTATGTTCTTAGTACTGTAAGCTTCTTTTTGATGCATACACAATTGTCATATGGTTTACCTTCACTAAATTGTTGTAGATTAAGTACGAACTTACTACTTCGTTTTTTCACTTGTGGTGTAGTCATACAGACAATGTAATTTGTGGTGCTATGCGATGAGGTAATTAATTCTGAGTTTTGAGTAAGTGACAACGGATGAATCGATAATAATAGGATTTCTTGGCTTGATGTACTTGACTTAGGACTGGATGTTAGGATAGAGGAAAGGTGTGTTGGAGAAAAATAAGAACATGGATTTTATGGGTCATTGTTTACGATCATTTTTTGTTGGTCAAGTCGTGTTATTTGTCAAGTGGAGGTCGGTGGTCTGATAGGGATAAGCGTAGTCATCGTTAGTAGACCCTCTCGTCAAATAAACCGATCACGCGGGCCCTAAAAATAAGTCAGAATTCTTAATTCTAGTTCATAAAACATCGAATTTAAGTATTGTGAAAACAGTGAATACATGATTTTTCATGAGTAGGCAGAATATCTACTCATATTAGCAAGCAGTACGACATTTAAAGACACAAAGCAATCGAAAGACGTGCTCTTTTAGATGAAAACTCAGAAGAGATCAAGAGAGTTGAATTAATTGGTTAAAAATAACTGTTTGACTCCATAAGTTGCACAGTCTAAAAATAAAACTTTTAAGTGTACTCTGTTTTTACATTATTTTGAGATAACATTGACTTATAATCAAAACTATTAAGAGTTGGAGAACTAATTGATTTGAATAAAGGAAAAGATTACTTACAATACATCAGCAATCAACTTTGAATTGGTACCCTGACATGTATACGTTGTCTGCAAACCAGTACAATTTACAGGGACATTTGGTTGGCAAATATCCCAAAAATGTGGCCTCAACCGGCCAAGATTGTATTTTGTAATTGTAGTTAGAAAAAACGTTGTTCCAAGAGATATAAGGGCGGCAACACAGAAATCATAGATAAATGGTAAAGACTAAGAAAATAAATAACGATAACATGAGTGATTAGTTACAGTGACAACTTACACCCTTAATTGAATAATTTTTATTTTCAGTACATTTCTTCAGTACAGCAGTGATTATCTCAACTAAGAAAATCTTTTCAAAACAGATTATTTTCTCATGAACACAATTTACTGTAACAAGTGGCGTGAGATAACTAACTACAGTTACTACTACATCAGTTATAGTATTGTCTTTATATGGATATTTGATACTCCAATCATCACAGAAGAAACTCCATTTATGACTTCCACAGTACTTGATCAGAAAATAAACACCATGAACTAAAAACAAGGTGAATCGAGTACCAGAATTAACTTACGTAAAATAATCGTCAATAAGTCCGAAGAAATACGAAGGGCTAATGGAAGATTCATTATCACAGTATGGAGTATGTTAACAGAGTTGATATCACTAATAAATTTCCGAACTCAATCGCAGTAAATGCTTTGACTACCAAAGACAAGAGTAGATACAATACAACATGAAACAAATGAAGCTTGAAAACCATTTCTTCATTTCATAAAACAAATAAGACAGGGTCAGATCAGCATTTAGAATAATACGTAGTAGTGGATTTTCATACCGGAGCTTTTTGAGTCCATTAAACCTACCAACCATTGGGTGATGGGATAATATTAGTAAACATAGAATCAGGCAACCACGTAGCTTCATAAGTATCAAAAATGAATCCAGCAACGGGGGGGGGACAAGTGTTTGTCCGCTGTTGGAACTTTAACTACTGCCTGAAACCTTGGATCAACTGTAAAAGTTTTGAATGATGATATACGTTTTTTGCATCCTTCCTAAACATTCGCTAAATGATATGTTACAAGCCAGAAACTAAATTCAAGGCAGATTATGTACTACTACAGACTAATATATGTATTTTTTTATCGATTTACAACAACGTAAATATGTTTCACTGTCAAAGTCCAGATAATGCTCAAAAGCTTTGATACCTGTTAATTTTATGACACTTCAGGAAACATCCCGTTTATTCATTACGCTAAACGTAGGTTCTTTAAATAGATTTTAGCAATGATTCAACACTAAAAGGAAGTCTGGGGTTATCATATGATACACAAGAGAAATGAAGGATATTACACCGAATAATTGTGAATCGTTTTAAAGGTTCGAGTATGATTTCAAGATCAAATAAGTGAATTTAGGTGTGTCGCAACTACTTATCATTAGCATTCGACATTTACCTGCGTGTTATCGTTAATTGAATAGCGTGAGACCTTAACAGCTATGGAAAATCAGCTGAAAAGCCCAGAGCCGGTCTCAATAGCGCATATACATTTAATTTTTGTCTTGGTTTACATCTTTAGTTTCAAAATTATCCCATAGTTTATTCTTTTACCTCAAATCATATTATTTATATCTAGTCGTTTTTACTATCAATGATACCGTTAATACTTTAACCAGTCTCCATAACTTCATTAAGATGTGCTGGCACGGTGTCTCAACTTGACAAGTTCTATGTTGTTTATTACTGACTTACTGAAAAGAACTTCAACAGCAACCAGTTGTTCATTGGATTAAAAGGGAAGAACACACTCAGCACTCAATACAGTATGATGTGGCTCGTCGGATTAAAATCCAAACGAGATTTCAAGAAACCTACAAGAAAATGTTGTTTGTAATGGGCTGACAGTACCGGACTACTCCAGGCCATAAACATGTCAGTGTTGGTAGACAACTCTAAAAAAACGAGGTAGGGGCGATTATAGCAGATGGTTCAGATTGTTACATAGCAGTATTTCTGTATAAGTGCTCTTGGAAAATGTTTCACTGGATTGGAAACGGAAATGATCAATCCACATTTTGTCACATCGATTCATTCTAAGATATTACGAGCATACCGAGAGACAAAAATAAAACATATCTAGACATTAAGTACGGAGGACTAAAAAAGGGGAAATGCTCCAACGCTATGTGGAGACAGTAAAGCTTTATCATTAGTGGAGGACGACTATGGGAAAGCTCAAGTATTCTCAAACTACTGTAGGAACGTCACAGTAAGTCCTAACTTCAAAACAGGTACGAAACGCAAACCTGAAAACTATCGACCCGTAATTCCAGCCAACGTAGTTATGAAAATTTAGGAAACAATTATTCGGAAGGAGCTGTTTACGTATCTCGATGAAAACCGGCTCTTTTCGGAAAGGCAGTATGGCTTTAGAATAGGTTATTCCTGTCTCGCTAGCTTATTAGTGACTCGTGAAAGCCGGTGTGCTCTTGAAGACCAAAAGTTACCTATAGACGTAGCCTACACTGAATTCAGCAAAGCTTTTGGCAAAGTTCCTCACAACCAACTTTTATATAAGTTAAGAACTATCAAGGGTTGAAGGCAATCTATTAATGTGGATAAAAGACTTCGTGGTTGGACGCCAACAAATAGTACGGGTGAACCCCAAGTTGTCCAGCTGGGAAACTGTGCTTACAGGAGTGCCTCAGGGTACAGTTTTGGGACCAATGCTATTCCCCTTGTATGTTAACAATCTTCCTAGTCTCCTATCATCATCTGTCCTGACGATGTCAAGATATGGAGAGCGGTAAAAAGTAAATGTTATAGCTTAGAGTTTCAAAATGACCTGGAAAGATTATCTGGCTGGTCTGAAATCTGGAAATTGCCGATAAATGCTTCAAAGCGCATTGTGATGCATATCGGTCACCAAGATACAAATAAACACATGGTGAATAACATTGAGCTACCGATCGTCCAGACGCACAATGACTTAGGAGTCATTGTTGGGCAAGACTTAAAAACTACTACATATTGCCGTGCCATAAACGCCAAATGTTTTAGAACCCTATGGTCCATACGTGAGGCCTTTAATCATGTCGACGCTTGGGATTAACTGAAAGACCACCGTTGCCAGGACCAGCACAGGCCAACCAGATTCCTGCCCTTTCCAAATTAAAACCAACTTTCGTGAGGCCGTATTTGGAATTCAGAATTTTAGTAGCGGGTCCATGTTTCAGGTGTGAGGATATACAACGACTTCAAAGATGAAGGACGGAAATGGTAACAAGTTTCTCTGGCCTATCTTTTACAAACAAACTGAGACTCCCCAACCTATTTCCGTTATCTTACCGCAGGTTACAGAGTGATCTAATACTGGGTTACTGTATACTAAACAATGATCTTAGTACTAATAAGTCTTACCTTTTACTTCATTCCAGGATTGATCATTTAAAGGACATTATAGAACAGTTCAAAAACTGAGATCAAACCGTTTACGTCTGGAGTTTTGTATCTCACACTGAGTAGTGAATTAGTGAAGTTCCCTACCAGAACACGTAGTATCGGCACCTTCTGTCGACACATTTGAAACGAGATCGGACCTTCACAGTATTACAAATTTCAAGGACTGAGATATGTCGACGGACCTACTATCATTATTATTGAATTGAGAACTTGATGAAAGCACCCGGAGCTCTGAATTTTGGGGAAAATTTGACCGATTATAGGGAAGTCGCTATAGTAAATTTGGCGAAATTTTGAGAAAATGCCTCTAAAACCCCAAAATTTTCTGACCTGGGGAAATTCCTTAAAATTTCCACAAAATTTACCTTTAACCTTGGTGAAAGTCATTTGACTTTGGGGATTTCCTCAAACTCGGGAGCTCGGAACTAATCAGCAGTATGAGAACTAACTAATATGAAAGTTGCAGAAAATAGATTTAGAGAAAATCCGAAAACCTAATTAGAATAATCCATGTTGCAGTATACTAAGTATGCTTTTGATACAATAAATACACAAAAGGAAATGTAATACACAACAAGCACGAAATCACTACTCTTGTTTGATGTTCGTTGATTCTCCCTATATTCCGAAATACCGAGATTTGGTTTTCGTAAAATTCTCAACTTAGAGGCGGTTCGAAATACAATGAGAAGAAATTACCGAAATATCAGCTGACAGTCTATGGGATAGTGTAACGCGCACTTCAAAAGATTCACTGCGGAATACTATGTACAACAACCACTGAGTTGACAATTTCGTGATGCAACCTTGTTTGGGAGGATGAGTGAAATATTTTTTACTTGTGGTCTGCAATTGGATAGTCACACAGAGTATTCCTACTTAACAATTTTAAATCTAAAGTAATCGTCCAGCCTTCCTTTGGGATATTGGTCAGACGGTGTCATCACTGTAGCTCTAATAAGAGTCTCACAACTTACTGATTCTAGCCGCGAAAAACAATGCATTGACTTGTGGCTTCCAGTATCTGTGTGATGAGGTGCTGGGAGAGTGCCTTTACCCGCTTTATGGTGCAAAGATACGGCGCAGATCTCTTTTTCCTCTCAGTATGGTACTCCTGTTAATCGGGTGCATTAAGCCTAGTACATCTGGTAATTAACTGAGGGTTGATGTGGCGTGGGTATAGATAACTCGTTTATTCTAAGTCATTGGGATTGTTGGAAGTTGCAGCATCTTTGGGCAATAGATCACTGCAGTTGGTAGCAACAATTAATTATGACATAAAAAGCTTAAGATATGTAGCGGACACTTTTGCGTGTATGTGCGTGGCTAATTAGTGATTGAAGGGGGTGCGGCAATCTGTAGGTATGTACATGGTGTCTGGTCTCTTCTTGAGACGGTCCACCGAAGGAGCTATAGTCAGATCGATCAATAAGGCGTCGAAAGTAGGGCTTACCAGTAATTGGTAAAAGTGCGACCTTTCATGGATAAAAGCCCCTTAATTTGTTAGTCATTAAGGTTTGCCCAGAGAAACACAAAGGAGAGGTTCAGGTAGCAGATGTAGTTCATTTTCTATAAAGTCTTTGAGTAGAGATGATTTATAAAGGAACTAGCTGCTCTGTTTATCCCTTGCAGCATAAAATGGAATCGTTTGAAACATCTGGTCAACCTTCGAGCGTTACATCACGTTTTTAAAAATCGGAATCAACGCTACAGATCTGTGGAAAACGAAGTCAGCTTTTTCGGTTCTATTGAAAACTGGGAAGAGGACTGGTGTTTATAGATCTCTATTAACAGCTAATAACCGAAGTACTGCAGAAAAACATCGCTTAGTGGGTAACAGAGGAAAACTCCGAAGCTTTCAGTATTATCTGGCCTAAACCGTCATTGGGAGGCTTAGATTAAATAACTTTTATGATAGAGGTACGGGGTAAGCAACCACATGTTGAAGAAACAAAGATTGCTAAAATGGCATGAACCAGAAAATATCGTTTAAACCATTTAAACTGTAGCCTAAGAGTTGAAGAATCCTTATTTAGAAAGTTATGACGCCTCATGCTGAAAACTGAGATCCTTTGGGGGTCACGATGCCGATGTATCTTGTTACATTCAGAGCAACGATTGACGTAGGTACATGGAATATTTTTATAATGTGGGAGATTGGTAGAACCAGTCAACTAGCAGAGTAAATCAGATGACACAACTCGGTAGTTCTCGAAAAAGTTTCATGTTTAAGATGTTCTTTGAATTACCTAATGTTTATGTTACTTCTACCCCTCTTACTGAGGTTTTAACCCAACTTCCATTTATCCAGAAGATAGATTTGAATCTGGGAAGGAACATCGTGAGCAGCGATTCGCTCCACATAGTTGTCACGTTACATAGTATTTGATTCTGGCATAAAGCTTACAGGTAAGTTATCACCAAATACACATGAAGATACTAACTAAACAATGTATCATCTAAATATAAAGGATAATCTTGGGGTTATAGATTAACCTGCCTTCTACCAATTCGTGTGGATTTGTTATAACAAGGTGAGGTCCACGGACATGCATGAGCATTTTTGCAGAGACGTTTTCAATCATATACATCAGCGTTACCACTCCGAACACAATTGTACGAATGTTTTTTTCATTTACACACACAGTGTTACTTCAGGCTAACATGGTAGAATATTAAGATACAGAAAACCTACATTAGTTGAGTATTTTCGTAATAGAGTGAAATTCGTAGCAACCGTTTTTGTCCGTATTCCAATTAACAGAGGTTTTGTAGGGCTAGTGAAATGTTGCTGGGACCTGGTCGGATCACCTGGCGGTCAGGTCATTTAATATCGAGTGGATTACCGATCCTCATCATGGTCAAATACAAAGAGTGCGCATCGATTAATCGTAATCAACCATAATGAAGTGCCCAGGAAAGGGCTTCATCACCAAAGTTGAAGTGGAAACAATGGTCTTGATACGACATGGACCAGGAAAAAGGAATGACAATGGAGAGAGCTTCGCAAATTTACGTGCATTCAACGAACTGGTTATAGGCGGCACAATATTCCCACACAAACGCATATACAAAACTACATGTGTCTAACCGGGCCACACCACGGCGAGCCAGATAGATCATATTTGCATCAGTAAAAATTTCAGTAGAACAGTGGGACACGTGAGAACCAGGAGAGGAGCTGACATAGTTTCTGATCACCAACTGGTTGTGACCAAGATGAAACTGAAGCTAAAGAAACATTGTACAACTGGATAAACAGCATTACCAAGGTTCAATACAGCCTTCCTTTGAAATACTCACAAACTCAACGGATTAAAGATAACTCTCAACAACAGGTCCCAAGCCTTACATTATCTACTGAAAGAAGAAGGAACAACTATTGAGGACAGTCGGATAGGGATCAAAGAAGCATTAACTTGAACTTGCTGGAAGGTGCAGGGTCATGATAAGCACCATCACAAAGAATACATTTCCATCAAGAGCCCAGCCAAGATTCTAGAAAGGAAGAACAAGAAGACAGCAATTAAGAGGATAAAAAAACAGGAACGGAGAAAGTTTAAGCACAAGCTAAACACACGGAAGCAAAGAAGTCAGTGAAGAGGAACATTAGAGCCGACAAGCAGAAATACTTGGAACAGCTGGCAACGATAACGGAAGAAAGACCGATCAATGATAAAGAAGGCAAGAAAATCACTGAAATTGAAGGACAGAGGGTCATATGGGTGGAACATTCCAAAGAACTCTTGGACATTATGGAAACATCTTCGACACTATGGAGTACCTGAGAAGATCGTCACCATCATCCGGAATTCATATGACGGACTACACTGCAAGGTGGTGCATGTAGAACAGTTGACATATTCATTCCAAATAATGACCGGAGTCCAACAAGGCTGCTTACCCTCGAACATTCTCTTTCTTCTGGTGGTTGACTGGATTATGAAGACCGCGACATCTGAGGGAAAGCACATAATAAAATGGACAGGTTGGATGCGGCTAAATGTTTTGGACTGAACCGGCCTTTCTATCCCATACACACCAACAAATGCAGGTCAAGACAAACAATGTAGCAACAGCTATACATCCATAGGCTACCGTAGGGGAGAACAAACCAGTTTCTAGCTGAGGAGGAAAATTAGGAAAAGACGATGAAAGTGGATAGGATACACATTGAGGAAATCATCAAACTGCATCACGAAGTAAGTACTAACTTGTAATCTTGAAGGGAAACGGAAAAGTAAAAGACCAAAGAACACAGTGAGTCGACAATTGGAAGCAGACGTTAAAAGGATGAATAGCGACTGGAAAGAATTGGAAAGGATTTTCCAGGACAAAGTTGGGTGGAGAACGCTGGTGAACGACCTATGCTTTTCCATGAGGTTAACATACGTAAGTAAGTAAGTGAGTAGGTCAAGTAGGTATTCGGTACATTCGACACTAGATACACGGAATGAACACTTTCTTAGATTTCCGGAAATATTCTTAATAGACGACGCAATAAAGCCATAAGTCTCTGATCACGGGAAACTTTATCGTAACAATGAATAATAAGATCACCTTGATAAACTTCGACAAGACTGAGGTCAGTGACAGCATCATTCATCACTACAGGAAATATGGCTGTAGAACAACCTAATTAACGTAGAAGGATATTGTATTTACATAAACCAAGAGGAGTGTTAGTTGTCGAAATAAATTCAGATTGGTATAAGGAGTTCAAAGACAACCATCTTTTAAGTTTGCGTTCGAGAGTACCTTAGAACCATGAAGTAAGAATAGGTTTAGCTTCCACCGAGGTACATGTGTTGCCTGAGCAAACAGCAGTTTGGTCTTCATTGTATGATAACCGCATGTTCTAGAGGTGTTGTCATCAGACTTCAAGAGCATACCAATGAGATTGTCCCATGCTAAAGACTGAACTGGTTCAATTATGCATTTTGTGCGCTAATCATTTAATGTCCAATGTACTGCTTCTCGAGCACTATAAGAAATTATTCACCTTTTCCGCAGTATTGGATCACCCTTCATTTAAAGTTCTTTGAGATGACTTCTCATATTTTCACAGCACTTACCACACTATGATAATTAGGAATACTTGAATTTTAGTATGAACTAAGGATTCCAGAAAACACGTAATCGGATCAAGAAGTACTAGATAAGCACAAGCAAATGTACTGTATTTAGAATTCGAAATCAAGCATTCAACAATTACAAAGGAATCATTAGTTCATTCAAACACCACACACACACAGCTATTAAATCTTTAAGTAATGCATCAAAATCTTCCTCAGAAGCTAATATAGACAACTACATTTCGAGTCTTTTCAAATTTTTCAAATCCATCATTGAAGGTCCCGTTTCAATGACTAAAAACTCACGAGGTATGATTACAGAACTATCATCTCTGATTAGCAGTTCACACTGTCCTTGTGTGGGTGCTTTTTGTCGAGTAATCCCAGCATTGGAACCTAAGTAGGTCGTTCGACGACGCTAGAATCGTAGGGTTTTAAGGTCACGAGTCAAGTAATATATTCTATATCGCTTGTATCGACAATAAAGTCATGAAATAAAACAAGAGAGGCATTTAATTCTTTCTGAATACGGAATGTACTTTGCGAAATCGTGGATAAAGATAAGTGACTATTATAAGCACCCAACCTCATTAAATCTGAATAACAGGGTTTTTTATCACCAATGGTAAAATAAACAGTAGCATTACAAACCGATTTGATATATCCGTCTATACCACACATAAAGCATTTAAGAAGACGAAAGTGTGGTGTTTGTTATATCCTAGCAAAGATGGAATTACGAGTAAGTTCGGAGACTTATTAATGGACAAATATTATCTTATTATTATTACTGTATAATTATTCAGTCATCAGATTATATATGTTTATATTTCCCTTATTATAAGTTTCATTTTGACCTATAGATTATTATTGTACGATTTACCGTTCATAAGTTATACTCAGTTTATTATTTACTGTCTCCCACGTTCACAGCTACTTTTTGGCTTTATTGTGTATAAATGTTGTTTTCTATTTTATGATGCGTTGCAGTCTGTTTGATTGATATATAAACCCCGTATGTCTGAAATAAATGATTCGAATAGTGGAGGCTGTTGTTGGCATCCTGGACTCAGCTGGGCGGGTTAGGCGAGTGACGGACCAGTAGGACGCTAGACTAATCAGACCGGTCGAACGTCACTGGTTTAGTACAGTACAAGGGCGAATAAGTCGTATTTTGATTGGCGAATAAACTACGCGATAACTAGTGGGCCACAAAGTCAATAACAGTGTTTATATGAACTAACGATTTCTCTGTACTTGTTGACTGCTTGAATTTGAATTACAAATACAACACGTTTGTTCGTGCTCATCTAATACTTGTTGGTTGAGTTGCGTTATTTCTAGGATTTTTAGTTTGTACAATAATTCAAATGCTCCTAATTATCACAGAAAGACACATAAATTACGCAAGCAAGATTTACCATGGGATAAACATTGACCGAATCTGTGCTCAACTATGTAGCCTGCTATGCGATCCTTTGCTGAATCATTTCTCGTATTTCTGCGATAAAGCGAATAACTACTAAACAAACGCGAGTTTTGGAGAAGTTGAGAATGTAATTCACCATGACGACTGAGCGAAGTTTTAGAAATTTTACTGACTGAAAATCAAGCTCATTCAGTGCCTCATTTCTTGGAATTGAACATTTGGGATTTTGAATTATTTCTCTCGTCAAATTTGGAATATTTATACCACCAGTCAATCGATCACGAAGTTTAGCTTCCTATTGACCACCAAAATTGCACTTTGCAGACTGTTTCTGCAGCCCATCATTTTATGAAACTTCGATCTCTCTCTGTATTCAAAGCTAGCACACTGTAAATGACCATGTAGTAATTCCTTGAGAGGTTCATACGACGGCAAGACAAACACTAGTTTTACAATTCGTTTCGATGTGTCCCATTTTGCCACACTTCAAGCATATAGCATGATGAAATGCGCAAGAGTTGTTCGAACGAAGTTTAATTCATGACAAACATATACCGAACTTGTGCTCACCTTTGTTTACTGCTTTGTAATTCTTCAGTAACTTGTTTTCCACGTTTTCCTGAGATCGGACATTGTCGTTAATTAAATGCCTATTCGATTGGTCTTGAGTACAAATGGGATTATTACAATTAGGTAATGTAGTAGAATTCTTGATACCTGAAAATCAGTTTCATGCAATCTCGTAATTAATACATGTAGCCCTAGCATCCTGAAAGGAACACTTCAGCATTTGTATAAGCCCTCTTTCCAGATTTGATAGGTTAATTCCTGCAATTAAACAACCATGCAGCTGGACATGAAGATGACCTTCAAAGTTACATTTGGTGGCTTGTTTCTGCAATTTGATGATAAACTCCCTAACCTCCTGGTTATTCTGAAGAATTGTTTTATGATATTTTGCTCTTTCACGGCATTCGAAATTTGTACACTTTATATAACTTAATAGTAGTTCTCTGAGAGTTTCGTAGGAAAGTAAAATAGGTTTATCTGGAAATGTCAAATTTCTCAGTACGTTGTAAACATCCTTTCCTATGAACGTAAGAAAATAATCCACAATTCTGTCATCTTTACCGTATCTTTTGATTATACTCCTGATTTCAAAGCTTTACGTGCAGTGACAAACCTCAGAATATGAATGTGTATCCAATTGTGCAATCTCAGGCTCCAATGAGATATCAATATTATAATTAGAAGTGTTCAAATTGATGTTTTAACTAAGAATTCCTGAAATGGCGCGATTTAAGTCAGGTGGATTAAGGTAGTCGAAACTGAACATATTACAGTTGGGATTCTCATAAAGCGCCCAATCGAGTAAAAAGGAATTCCCAATGAATACAAATATCACAGCATGTATGCCTCAGGAAACTTATTACTGTTCAACAATAGGTTATTATTATTACTGTTATTATTAAAATAATTCAACCAATTTTTCATTTTGTCTATCTGGTGCAGATATTTTTTCGGCGACCATACTTTGTTCAAAAAAGCGGTTCTTGTTCGACCGCATCAGTTAAGCAATGTTGGACTCCGTCAGTATTTGTATGGGCGACCGGCTGGGAACGCCGTGTGTCGCCGACTTTGGTAGCAGAATCCAACCTAAGGTCACTTGGTAGTAAGGGAAACCTTGATAGCTAACTTGGGCGGCCGGCAGATATCAGACTAATTCACCAATTATCTGTAAACCGGATTGACTGGTTCACGCTTTTCAGGCTAACCAATGTGTATGCTTATGCATATGGATTGCACGAGTTTCAGCTTATGTGAAATATGTATGTGGGAATATCCAATGAGTGCGTGCGTGGGTTAGCACAAGGAACGCAAGCTGAAATATCCGCCTTTTGTATGATAAAACCAGCGGCCAAATCTTCAGGTCAAAGACAGAATAAAAATATGGCAGCAAGTACCCGAACGAGGTGATTATCGACTTTCCTGAAAGAGTGCTTGTGCTTATGTGTAGGTCATGAGGTTCAGGAACGAAAACCTCTGTACCAGTGACATGCATGTAATATGTGCGTGAAAGTCGACTGTAACGGACACATTTGAAGGGAGCGGTGACCATCTACTTTCTCAGATGGGTGAACATATCTATGTGTGTGTCAAGGGATGTATGAGTGAAAAATTATTTGTTACCTGTACGCATGCAGACTTTACTTTACCCTGCTGCGATGCCCGCGCCCCAAGGCCTAGGAGTAACAGTTTCCTCACTAGATCACATCCATATGGTGAGTTTGCGAGCCCTGAGGAATGGAAACTCATCCAGAAAAGCCGACCGACTTCACCGGATAAGGCTTAATCAGCCTTAACACAGTTGGAACAGCGTACCGTACTAAGCCAAGAATCTTGTAAGTTGTTATATCCGAGTGGAGAGTAAATTACAGGTAACTTCCGAGGACTATTCATGGACTAATCTTATTGTATAACTACTCAACAATTACACTATGTATATTTATATTCCTTTTATGATAAGCTTTATTTTGATCTATAATTCATTATTGTACGATTTACGGTTCTTAAGTTATGTTCAGTTTATTAACTACTGCCTCCCTCATTCACAGCCACTTTTTGGGCTTATTTGTGTACAAATATTATTCCCTATTTTATGGTACGTTGCGGTCTGTATGATTGATATATAAACCAAGTATGCCTGAAATAAACGATCTGCTCTGATTCGGAAGCTGGTATCTTGTTCTGGACTCAAGTGGAAGGGCTCGTAGGACATAGGACCAATAAGGACGCTAAACTGCCCACACCGGTTGAACGTCATTGGTTGGCCTAGTGTGAAGATCCGTATAAGTCGTATCCGGATTGGTAGATAAATCGTGTGATCGAAAAGTCAGACATCCAAGGTCATAACATAAGTAAGTATAAAAAATGAAGATGTGAATAGTTTATGGACAGAAAAAATGTGTATAAATCATTTAATGAAAGCTTTTGACGACGGATGTATAAGAGCTAAGTACTATACTGGAATTCTTTAGTTATGAAGGTAGATCAAAATACCAAGGTGATAATTATAAAAAACAGTAGCTAATGAAAAAGTCTTATATTTTATCTAACGAATTATGCAACTAGTAATAGATTAGTCTAATCTAAAATGATATTTTGTTTATTCTGTCGAGAAGCTTGAGTTCCGGTTGCAATTAACTATATCGGAAGAAAAACTAACCATTACAAATTGAAAACTGCTGTTCTGGAATTTTGTTCAATTTACTTTAGCTACATGTAAGTAGTGAAACTCGAAAATACCAAAAGTCTGTGATAGAATTAAATTCATATAGTTAACACAGTTAGTCATTGACTTGACTAACACGTTTAAAATGTTTTTTTAGAAATTTACTAAAATTCGCTTTGGTAACAGTTAGTATTTTAGAAGTATTAACTACGTTGGAGTTTATTATCGACTTTGATGAACTTGTCAATGGATTTGATTGTAATGGATTAACTCTTCTTTCAGCAGGTAGACGAGGATCTCTGCCACGTTGTTCACTTTCATGTAGATGACCAATTAGTAATACAAAAAGGTCTGCAACCATATGATTCAACGATGCAGAAATTTCGATGAATTTCGCTCCATGTATTGAGGCTAAATGACGACCTTCTGTTACATAGGAAAAAATTCAGTAAAAGGTAAAGTCAATAAATTTAGAAAATCACTTTATTAAAAATCTCATGTTTAATTCTTGTAAACTTTACTCTTTACACTTATCATCAGATCTCATTTCCAGGTTTTTAGAGATTATTAGCATCTTGGGGTGTCTAGGGTGGATAATACGGTTAATAATTAGAATATACTGTCACTGCTTGCCAGTTAAGCCCTCTGAAATCAAACTATATAGACTAGATATTCATTACGACCAAATTCCATCGTCTTGTTTTGCATTACTCCTCAAAGCTGTATCCAATGACGTCATATTCGGGTCACTCATTTCAATGTTCAAACAATCTAATGGTGAATGTTAAGTGATAAGATTGTCATTAATCTGTGAAACAAATTTACAGAAAATGTGGAGATAATTTTATATTATCAAAATTTAGTTCATTTATGACTGCAGAAATGTTGCCGAACTAATTAATCTAAACTAATTGATAGAATACCTTCTTACGTAAACCTATACTAACAGTATGATAAGCTAGTGGATGATTTTCATACTGGGATCTTAACTAAACTGTGAACTCCTTATAATAATAGGATAATGAAACTGTTGTCTTAAAATAATCCACGTGCTAAAACTTTTGATAAGCAGAAGAGAATATAGTCATCATTTAACGTTTGTGTAAAACTGGATTATAGTATAGTGAAAAAAATTCTAGTATCAAATAATTAGTGTATACTTCATAGAACTTCACATTTGATATTATTTTTGAAGTGCAATTTTCTTGTGATGCTACTGGAGTTTACACCCTTGCTGAGATCTTTCTCTGGCATCTTGGTGAGATATTATCTTTTACAATCTGCCGACATTTGTTCTTCTTCCCAAATCTTTCTGAATAGAATGCGGAGCATCTTTACAGTTACCTCTATGCCTAAATTTAGTACCCCTGCGGGTATACTGTCTGGTCCTGCTGCTTTCTCACTCTTGATTTCTCCGGTTGTTGGTGGAGTGACATCTATAGAAAGGTCTGTGTGTATTGCTTAGATGTCCAGTACGTTCAATGAGGCTTGTCTGTCCAAAAGTTCTTTAAGGTGCTTTACCCACCTGTTTCGTTGCTCTTGAATCTCAGTGGCTTGCCTTCTTTGTTCTTGACTGGTTGTTCTGGTTTACTATATTTCCCTGTTAGTTCGTTGTATCGTATAGTAATTTCATATTCCCTTCTCTTGCAGCTTTTTTCGCTGCCGTTGCTAGATCTTCCATTTGTCACCTCTGATGCTCCACTTCACACTTTTGTTTGTTTATGTGTTCGATCTGTGCCTTGGCTTGGACATCGGCATCGTGACCCACAAAGAATCTCAGTTTTCAGCATGAGGCGTCATAACTTTCTGAATAAAGGTTTTTCAAATCCCAGGTTACAGTTTAAATGAATTAAATGATATTTTCTGGTTCACACTATTTTAGTAGGTTCGCTTTCTTTGAGATGTAGTTGTTTATCAAGTACTTAATCCTCCTCGTTTTTTGCGGACATGGAACTGGCACTAATCTTAGAAAAAGTACAAGAGGAGTTATAGTGCAACATTTCATGATTAACTTTGTTGCTATCCATTAGAGAATATATTAGAGATTTGTAAGCTTCCAGATATAATTAAAATTATGTCTTAATTTCCTGTCATACAAATATAGAATATTTCGCATTCTTTGAAGTACAGTTACAACAATTTATACCAAATCAATCAATCGTTAACCTATCATCAGCACGTTCTTTTTTAACATCTGATCTTATTTTTGCCTTCATCACGGTGTTATTTTAGAAAAACGTTTGGAAATTTATAACATGCTTATTGTTAATTTAATGTAATCCACAGTGTAACTATTTGTTTTCGTGGGATTCAAATAGAAAAACAATCAAGAGATCACTGAAAACTGAAATATGTATTATCTTACAGAGTAAGGAAGAACTCAATTCATGATAGTAACACTAAGTAACTTACAATGAATATTCATATACATATATAAGTCTATTAAGATATATGAAAGAAAGATTAGTTCAGCGAAGAGTTCTCTTTTCGGCGAATTCATTTTCAAAGCTGTACAATCGCAAATATATATACTTATTTATACAGGGTGATAATAATACTGATAATAAACTTATGATATACATGGTGACAGTGAGGTTAAATAAACAAAGGTATTAGAAAAGATTTTTTAAAAACAAGGAAAGTTTGATAGATAATGGCTTAGATAGTCATCGGGTAAGAGTAGCTCAGCATGATAAAATAACCTAAAATGTTGAAACAGAGATGAAATGTAATCGGAATGATCGTTGAAATAAAAACGAACCGGTTGGGGGTACAAGATTTGAAGGGAAGATGGAAGGTGAAGCAGGTGGCTGTAAAAGAACAAGAGTAATGAGAAAGAGAAAAAAGAGAAAAAAAATTTTAATACATTAAGACCACGGTAAAAGAAGAGGTTGTACCAGTCTCTTTTGTACACATAATTCTGGTTTTTCAAAATGTATGGCTATTGCCTCGGCAATGCAAAGGAGATGTAGTCTAATTGTCTTAGGAAGGTTTCTACTTACCTTGTAGATGACTTTGAACGCAGAGTCTGTCTTGATTGAGTGACCTGTGTTCACAAGGTGTTCGATTATAGAACTTCTTATTGAACCGCTGCCTCCTCTTCTTAGCCACGCCGGACAATGTTCTTGAATTCTTTTGGATAAAGTACGCATCGAACGACCTATATACCTAGCTCCACAAGAGCAGGTAAATTGGTAAATGCACATTGAATTGGTCAGATGCGATAATTTATCTTTCAGATTATTGGCGAACAGTGATCGGCTGGAGAATAATATTCGCAATGTTGCTGCGAAAAATGTTCTTTTTAAAGAATCTGAAACTCTCCTCTTTAAGATATGTGCGGCTCTATCGCCTTTGAAGTCGATGTTCATGTATAAAATTTTCTTTTCTACTGCAGTGGTTTGTGGTCTTGGCATTTTCGGTTTCATGTTCTTATCAATGAATATAGAAGGATATCCGTTTTTGATAAGTATCTCTTTTAAAAAACTCAATTCTTCCTCTACGACCTCAGGGCTACAGATTCTTCGTATTCTTGTGGCGAGAGTGATTATTAAGTTTCTTTTTCGGCTGATGGGAACCCAACTGTGGAAATTTGATAGTTGGCCATTCCATATGGGTTTCCTGTAGATAGATCTTTTTAAAGTACCATCTTGTTTCCTTGTTATATCTACATCAAGGAAGTGAATATTTTGTTTGTTTTCAACTTCAATTGTGAATTTTATTGATGGGTGACAATTATTAAATGTATTTAGGAGATCACTTAAGTTACATTTGTTATCACAAATGATAAAGATATCATCCATATACCTTTTATATAAGTGGAGGTTTTCTATAATTCTTTTAAGTTGGTTGTTTTCTAAACTGGCCATGAAGCAATCTGCCAGTAATGGACCAAGTGGGGATCCCATTGCTATACCATCCTTCTGTCACATTGAACGACGTAATTCCTAGACAGATTGATGGTATGGCAATGGGATTCCCACTTGGTCCATTACTGGCAGACTGCTTCATGGCCAGTTTAGAAAACAACCAACTCAAAACAACTATAGAAAATCTCCACTTCTATAAAAGGTATATGGATGATATCTTTATCATTTGTGATAACAAATGTAACTTAAGTGATCTCCTAAATACATTTAATAATTGTCACCCATCAATAAAATTCACAATTGAAGTTGAAAACAAACAAAATATTCACTTCCTTGATGTAGATATAACAAGGAAACAAGATGGTACTTTAAAAAGATCTATCTACAGGAAACCCATATGGAATGGCCAACTATCAAATTTCCACAGTTGGGTTCCCATCAGCCGAAAAAGAAACTTAATAATCACTCTCGCCACAAGAATACGAAGAATCTGTAGCCCTGAGGTCGTAGAGGAAGAATTGAGTTTTTTAAAAGAGATACTTATCAAAAACGGATATCCTTCTATATTCATTGATAAGAACATGAAACCGAAAATGCCAAGACCACAAACCACTGCAGTAGAAAAGAAAATTTTATACATGAACATCGACTTCAAAGGCGATAGAGCCGCACATATCTTAAAGAGGAGAATTTCAGATTCTTTAAAAAGAACATTTTTCGCAGCAACATTGCGAATATTATTCTCCAGCCGATCACTGTTCGCCAATAATCTGAAAGATAAATTATCGCATCTGACCAATTCAATGTGCATTTACCAATTTACCTGCTCTTGTGGAGCTAGGTATATAGGTCGTTCGATGCGTACTTTATCCAAAAGAATTCAAGAACATTGTCCGGCGTGGCTAAGAAGAGGAGGCAGCGGTTCAATAAGAAGTTCTATAATCGAACACCTTGTGAACACAGGTCACTCAATCAAGACAGACTCTGCGTTCAAAGTCATCTACAAGGTAAGTAGAAACCTTCCTAAGACAATTAGACTACATCTCCTTTGCATTGCCGAGGCAATAGCCATACATTTTGAAAAACCAGAATTATGTGTACAAAAGAGACTGGTACAACCTCTTCTTTTACCGTGGTCTTAATGTATTAAAATTTTTTTTCTCTTTTTTCTCTTTCTCATTACTCTTGTTCTTTTACAGCCACCTGCTTCACCTTCCATCTTCCCTTCAAATCTTGTACCCCCAACCGGTTCGTTTTTATTTCAACGATCATTCCGATTACATTTCATCTCTGTTTCAACATTTTAGGTTATTTTATCATGCTGAGCTACTCTTACCCGATGACTATCTAAGCCATTATCTATCAAACTTTCCTTGTTTTTAAAAAATCTTTTCTAATACCTTTGTTTATTTAACCTCACTGTCACCATGTATATCATAAGTTTATTATCAGTATTATTATCACCCTGTATAAATAAGTATATATATTTGCGATTGTACAGCTTTGAAAATGAATTCGCCGAAAAGAGAACTCTTCGCTGAACTAATCTTTCTTTCTTATTTAATGTCATAATGGGTGTATTCCGCTTATTAAGATATATGTATATATTCATACATACATAGCATTTTTTCTTTATTTTGTCCTAATCGCTACTTATTTTACTTTAGCTTTCATAACATCCATCTTAAGTTATCATGCTTGTGAATTAAGGCAATATCGAGACAATCCGTACAGGACGCACATATACCAATAACAGACTGATCAATTGCAGTGCTAACACATCAATGGGAAGTTACAAGTAAAACAATACCAAGTAAGTTGAAGCAAATTATTATCATAAATGTAAACTATCTTTTTTGGTTTTGTTTTAATTTATTATTTAATTTCTTATTTACCTTAAATGATTTTATTTCTTCTTTATTCTTAATAGGAAATGGAG